AGAGGTCCGTAAAGGGAGTGTGCATAAGTGCACTAACGTGCCTATTGTCCCTGTCATTGTATTTTTTTTTATATTATTCGTGTTTTCATTTTTGTTTGACAAATTATAAATAAATAAATAAATAAATAAATAAATAAATAAATAAATAAAAACCATAACCTGGATAACTGAGAATTTCCATAGACAAGTACAGATCTCAACTAACTGAGTTTCAGTGTGGTTCCATTTTCCATGTTGCTCACAGAGGAAGTGTTTTACTACTTTACTACCACAAATGTTCTGTTTACATAGAAGATTCCATCAGACAAATAGAATAGAAATCTCTCACAGGATAATGTACACAGAAAAAAACCCACTATGTTCTCATATCCAAGTAAATATCCACCTGTTAGCTCCACTACATAGATAGATCAGACCAGGAAATCAACTCCAAAAGAAGGCCAAAATTACTTTTTATTGAGACTGACTATTATAACAGAATCTTGCAAATCTGATTATGCTGTACCTGTTCTTCCTTCTTACGGAGGTATTTGCCTGAGCTGCTTCCAAATGTTATCTAGGGTAGCTATTTTGCACTTCCGCCCCTTTTGCCTAGGCAATAATAGCTCCTGCATGTCTGTATCAAGTTAATTTTTCTTATCCTCAATTTAACCTGCAGCCTTAAAGTGTGGATTCCTTCAGCTGTATTTGTTTATATAACCAAATTAATAGCTGCAATTATGACTGCATACAAATAGTTCATTAGTATTCAATGTTCCAATAAAGGTAAATTTATTCTGTTCTTGTCCTTCATAGTTAAATTCACTAAAAGCAGCAACAGATTATTTTATTGGAGGAAGAAAACAAATAGGCTATTACAACTCAGGACCAAAGAATAAGAGTCAAGGAATTAAAAACAATGTGCAGATTCTGATTTCATGCCAAGTCCATGGTTAAGATAAGCAGGTGAGTACACCAAAAGCAATTTGTATCTCTCTCCGCAGCCAAATTTCTACACTTGAAATAGGTGGATAATTTAACACCAACACAGCAAAGGAGGAACAAGAAAACACCAAGAAAATAGATAGGAGCTATCTTCAAAAGGAAATGACGTGGAGAATACAATAATCTTCATGTTCCAAAGAAAAAGTAATTGACAACTCTGAAGTTTACCTGACCGAGGCCATCTTGGAGGCTTCAGTGTTTCCACAATGGTGTGGAGGGATAGGGAGGGGGGAGTAGAGATAGTTGTGGTTCTGTAGCCAAAGCAAAATAGCTTCTCCTGAGAACCAAGGACATTCCCACAGGTGGCTGAAGAGAGGAGAAATGAAGTTTCCAAGCAATTGGACTGATTACACCTCACACTGGGCTTCCTCACACTTTCGCCGATCCCTCCAAGATTTGCGTGCCCCTCGGGGGGGGGGGCCCTCCAGACGCACAGACTGGGGATGAGAGAATGGAGCCCACTCTTCTCTCCTCACACCACCACAGCGCCGCAACCGGAAGCAGTCTAGCATCTTGGAAAAAACTTTTACTTTTAATTAGGTGAAAACCGCAGGAACCATTAGAGTCGGTTTTCACCAGTTTGTTCCAATATGTTATATCCAATAAGCTTGTTCTTTGAGGACTCTGCTTGCTTGGACCTCTATTTGCTATGGATGTATTACTAGGAATCTTGAAAGTAATTGTATTGGGATTTAAACAAAAATAAGAGAGCTGGCCTGGATTCCAAGTACCCCTTTGCAATCCAGTAATTGTTATTGCAAGCCTGGACAATGCAGACTATTCTTCTGCTGCACACAATAGGCCATAATCTTTTATCACTGTCTAACTCGAAGCATGTGAAAATGTTTCTAGTAATGACACTTTTCTGATAACTGGCATATGGCCTTATCAGAAAAGCGAACTGAATTGATTACTCCCTGTAAATGCAAGTAACTTTAATCAAATAACATCAATTAAACTTAGTGCTTAGTTGCCCAAGGGTACAATCATGAAAAATGTGCATTATCACACTGCAAAACGCCCATACTGTGAATACTGTCATGTACATCCTTGTCTGCAAATCATTGCCCACGGACTCTTACCAATATAGAAGATGACTGAGGACAAATTGCACTCAACACATTTTAATAAATATGAATTAGAAACACACTTAACCATTTGCTAAAGTCCAAAACGACGAATCCTTCTATTGTTTCTTTCTTCCGCTTTCCACATACTCCATTGCCCATGACAGTTCTTTATTTAAATGGTATGCATTAGGATGTCCACAACCTACATAACTCAAAGAAGGTTTCTTTCTGAGTGGTATCAATATCGCAGCTGCAGAAACTTTTTGTATTAGGTGACACGTTCAGTCTAACCGGATAGCTGTTTAGGAAGATTCTTTGATATGAGAAGCTCAGCTAGTCCCAAAATTTTATAATCACAGACGTGCAAAGAGCAGCAAAACCATCAAAAGGCTCAAGGCGGCTGAATTCATTATGCAGCATTGTATTTTTTAAAAGATCTATTGGATATTCATTTATAGAAAGCCTATTGCAATGTTCAGAAAAATATATCATGGGGTGGAGGTACACAAGGAAAAGAGACAAGCTGATATTCCACAGTACGAAGGAGAGGCAAAGATTATATTGAACATCTATGTTGGGACATTTAATTTTTCTTACTTCAAATCAGTTACAAGTATAGACCTCCCAAATGTGCTTTTACAGACTTCCTTTGTTTTTCCTTGAAGATCAACTCATTCTCGTAAAGATACAAAAGAACTTGGCATGCTGCATGTCACATCTTTAAACTCCACAGCAAGGATTTTACTGGAGGAACAACCATTTTCCTCTCTTCATTCTTCTAGTCACAAGGAATGTTGACAGGGGAATGGCTGTTCTGTTGCCTCAGCTTCTTTCAGTTGTGCTATTCTGAAAATGAGACCTAATAATACTTGTGCACAGCACAAAAAAGGGGAAAAACATTTCACTTTTATAGTATTGTTTCTTCTTGCCAACAGACTATTCACCTGACCAAACCGGTTATTTTCAAAACAAAAACATTTGCAGACAGATTATTATTCTCTTTGTGTCACCCAAGACGGTCAGTAAAAGACGGTCAGTTCTCTCAGCTACATACACAATTGTTTTCCACGATAAATATAGGTGACCAGCAATGCCCTTGTTGTCTTCTGGACTCACTATGTCGATACCTTTGGGCATCACAAAATTCTGCTTGCTTGATCAGCAACTGATCAAACAAGGGAGGGACAAAAAACTTCAACTACTGTGTTTCCCTGAAAATAAGACCTAATAGGAAAATAAACCCTAGCATGATTTTTCAGGGTGCTCATAATATAAGCCTTACCCCCAAAATAAGCCCCAGTTAAGATTGTCAGCCAGACAGATGCATTTACCGTATATTTTCCCCAAAATAAGCCCTAACTGGAAAACAAGCCCTAATTCATCTTTTGGAGCAAAAATTAATATAAGACCCAGTCTTATTTTCAGGGAAATACAGTTAAGTCTCATCTCCCCACTCAAACATGGAAAGTTAGCTCTTATGTAGTGCATCGGCAGGAAAGGCCACAATTCAATGACAGAACAAAAATGCTCAATTCGGCAGGATTCTGTCTAAAACTATGGTGATCCCCAGTTGCTACTGTTGTTGTTGTTGTTAGTGCATGGTGTTGTTAAAGTAGCCAGGAGACCACAATGCTATTGCAGAGTAGCATTTCAGCTTGCCAAGGTACCAGCCCTGTTATAGAACACACTTGTGCATTTCCAAAAGTGCACCACAGAAGGGCAAGCTGGTTCCGTACCAGAGAAAAAGACAAGCAGCTGCTCCTCCAGTGTCACCCAAGGCCTTCTCCCTTCCTGGAACTGCCTTGCAAGTGGGTACCACAACTGGAAAGTTCAGCGTTGTCAGGAATCTGCCTGCCTGCACAGAGCACCAGCTTGTCCCCCCACCAAAGTGGTACCGATCTATCTACTTGCATAACATGTTTTCGAACTGTTAGGTGGACAGAAGCTGAAGCGAGAGACAGGAGCTTGCCCTGCCGTACAGAGCTAGGGCTCAAACCACCAGAACTGAGACCATTTCCAGCATCATTAACCCACTGAGCCATCGTGCCTCTGTGATCCCCAGTAGTCAGTGTAGGTATGAAATTATGTGGACCATGGCCTGACTTGAATTTTGTTCAGGTGCTGAGGCTGCTTCTTAAACCCCTAAAAGAGTTTCATGATGTGTCTTCTGATTATTGAAGAGGCTAACACAGAGTTAAAAGGTAAGCAGGAAGAGCAGGAGTCGTATAGGCTTGGTAAATATAATATTTAGCAATATGGAGCTGATGTGCTCTGAATTTTAATTCCCATACAAGTTTTGTGAGATTTCAAATCTTTTCAGATAGAGAATTTAATGATGCACATATCATTCTTTTCCTTTCTCACGGGGGCCAAATGCAGAATATGTGCAGTTTTCCGAGCCAAATGACTTAGAACAGGATAGGAAAACAAGGGAGAACCCTCTCAACCAGACAGCAAGATAAATGACGGAGGACCGAAGCCAAATCCAAAACTGATAAAACAAGAATGTTTCCAAGAGAAAGAAGAAAAGAGCTTGTTCATTTCTGATATACATCAAGCACAAATGGGACCCAAAGAAATCATCTAAAAATGGAGAATTGAATGCACATTGACAACAACTGTGAGTACGATCAAATCACAAAAACATTGTTGTTATGGCGCATTGCACAATCAACCAGATGTCTAGAGGCTGCATTTTGATCCACCTATCAAGTCCTTCCCAAGGACTTGGGGTAGGCAGATATTGTTTAATCATAGAGGGATCCTCACAGAATGTAAGCTGTTCCAAGTAAGGCTGCCTTTTGCAATTGACTGACGATAATTTCATCAATGCCAATGATGTTTTAAGTTGTAATAACAGAACTCTTTGGACTTGGTTATTCTTTGTTATTTAGGAAAAAAAAACCCTGAAAATGGAAACAGTATGGAACAAAAACATGTACTTACTTGACAGGACCGTTGTGAGGAAGATATAATCAGAAAAGGAAATCAAGCCACATTCTCCAAGGGCATAAAAGATGCTGTCTTCATCTGCAAACTTCTCACGTTCCTGGGAAATTCTCTATTTTAAAAGATTATGAATACCACAATCCCAAGAGAGGAAAAATATACTTAATTAATAACAGACCACAGCTTTAATACTATTATTATTATTATTATTAATAAACCCCTTCTATTACCATTCAGATACCTTTCCAGCCTTTAAATCTGTCAGATGGGCTTTTGGGGGTTAAAATATTAAAATCAAGTTCTCTTCTATCTATATTTCACATAAATTTCAGTCCTTATTTGAGTCTAAATCCCTTTTAATACAGGAATTATTTCTATGTGAGCAGGCTAGGATCGTGCTGTTAACATTTTCAATCCAAGGCAAATCAAGATATGTCTTGTTTCCTCTAACTTAGTAGTAGGTATTTCAAAGCTTCTATCTTACCAGTTTTAATACATAGGAACTGGAAAGAATTTACTGATGGTGGTTTTGGAGACTCTATACTTTTATGCATAGATAAAATATTGCCCATCTCTTAATTTGATTATGAAATAGAAAGTAGGCTATAGCACTTGAATTTAATAGCAGTGTTGCATTATATGAACATTTCAGGAAACCAGAATTAATAGTGCCACATATTTTCTAAAACTGCAAAACTGAACTAGCTTTGAAGGTTTGCAGACGTGATTTAAAGGATTTGCCTTAGCTATGATTTTTGGCGAGGCATACATAATGCAAAACTCTTTTTAACAGCAGGACTGGGAAATATACGCTAATGAAAATAAAGATAAAAGACCAAATCTAATCTCAGTGTCATGATTAAGAGGCCACAGTTTATCATCAATTGGTAATTGTAATGCAGACAGACTCCCACAATGTCTTTTCTTTCTCCTTCTATCCATAGATTTAATTAGTAAACTGAAAGCTATTAAGTCATTTTTGCCTTCTGAAGTTTTAAAGGCCAAAAAAAAAAAAGATGCAACAATTTGGGTTAGAGAAGTTGAGTTCTATCATCTTAAAATTGTTAATTTTTTTCAGAAGTATTAGAAGACAAGCACCATACACACACACACACACACGCACACACACAGAGAGAAGTAGAAATATTAAAAAGGATCAAGTGAGTTGTGGTTAATGTATATGAAGCATGCAAGCACGGGAGCACATTAAATCACAAGCACAAATTTAAGAGCAGTATTAGGGAACAAAAGACACTATCAACAACACACCAGGGTCCAGTTATACAACTGTTCCCTATCTGTTACCTCTGTCTAGCGAGGATCCCATCATATATGAGATAAAGGAAAGACAATTTGTTAAGCAACGACACTTAAAGCACATTGACATCATCATCATCTGTTGCATTTGAAGAGCAAGAAACATTTGAAACAATAACAGTCATAATTAAGAAATGTGGAGAAGGCATTGATTAGAAATTGAGATTGAGATGTTGTCTGGTGCTATCATTCTATTTCTGTCTGAAGTACCAGAACTGGAGATAAATCCATAATAAAGTAATCATGCTGAGAGAAAGGATAATCACCACACTCTTTTTCAATAATTCTAGCTATGTAGGATTGTCAAAATATCCAGGAAGAACTTATAACAAGAAACATTCTCAGTGACAACATTTCACAGAGTGAGAAGTTGTACTTATCCTGCAAAATACTCATATCAGTATTCACTCATTATATTTATGAAGTCCTTGGTGTTCTCCGAACTTGGTGGCTTTCAAACAATAAATAACAACCTAACAAAGGAACCACCAAGAATGCTCCCAGCTTATCCACTGACAGGATAAGCTACTAATATATAAAAAACAGCAACACTCCCATTCTGTTCTAGCACTGATGATGTTACCTAAGAGGGTAATGAAACATCTCAAAAAGATAACCAAGCTTAGAGAGCACCAAGGACCCGACAAATATGTAGTTCATGGTTGAAACTACAATATTCTCTTCTGTCAGTATCTGTCGGTGTCATTATATTTATTCTGACAAAATCAAAAGGGAAAGCTACATAAGGATATTGTATGGCCAACAATTATACATACAATTGACAAAGATTTGAGACTCACTGCTCTGTAAGATTATGAAAACAGTACCTAAAATCAGAACTCTTTTGTTTACAGTATTATAACTTCAAGATTATGCAATCATACTGTTACTATTCCTATCTCTTGCATTTTAGTATCTCTCGAGCATGCAACTCTAAAATAAGTTCCACTGAATTGAGGTTGATTTCCACTGAAATATAGATTGCAGATTTAGAGAAACAGACCTTTGAGATTTTAAACTCATTTAAAGGCATTCTGTTTGTAAAACGTTAGACCCAAACAATGTTTATTCCAGTCATTATTTACAATTTTATTATGGCATTCTGTATCCTTCTTTACATTAGGAGTAGTAACAATATATATTTCATACAGCATATACTACTGCTAAAAATATCCACTTTATATTATGGAGTTCTAAATATCATAATGAATGAGCTTCGGACACCTTGATGCAGTTTTGGGAACTAGATTAATACAACAGGCACATCAGTTATTCAAACACATTCTCTTGTATAAGAATGTGTTTTATGAATCTCAACACCATCTTCCCCAACTATCATTCCAGCACAATGCATTATTACTCTTGAATCAAATGCAAGTTTATTTAAAAAGCAAGCATGCAGGTGCGATATAATCAGTGGTAGTAGTAGCAGTGGTAGTAATAGTAGTAGTAGTAGTTATAATAAATGGCATGTAGTTAATGCTAAGTAGATCAGGCTTCTCTTAATGACTTGACATTGACATCAGAAAGACTAATAGTACATTCTGCTCTATCCACATTTTATACGTCCTCTTTGCACCTAGATTCCAAATTCATTTCTATCTGTAATCAAATTAATTATTTTATAAAGTTCCCATTTATAAAAATGGAAGTATTACTGAAAAGATGTGATGGTGATGATTATTTTAAAAAACAGTTTGGCTTACTGAAGAATTTTATATTTCCCCACATCAACTGAGTCTGTCCAATATTGTCTGAAGCTCATTGTCATACTAAGTAATTCAACTTAACCCATTTATAATTCAAAATAATATTCCTAGAAAAATGAAAGCCACTCTAGCCATAGGGTACAAGCATCTAGAAATAATTGTAGTGCCACTGAATATTATACCAACTCCCTTTTTACGACCCTGTAATCTCTTCATTTGGGATAGAGTCAGAGTGACTGGTTGGAGCTGAGCTTTTACTGGCTGGATTCCCTTCCTGATGCCACGCAGAGTTCTCAGTAGATTTTTTTTCCTTGGACCCTAGGAGAGAAATACCTGATGCTACCTAGGATTGAACTCTCAACCTTCCAAGTGGGAGGTGAGTGTCTTCACCACTAGGTCACCACACTGCTCAGCTGAATAGTATATACCAACATGTAAGAATATTCTCTCTACTGCAATACTTATATAGTCAAAGAGATGACCGGTTTCAATTTCCGTCAGATGGATTTAGACAAATATTTCCATAACCTGGCAATTTCCAGATGTGTAAATTTCAATTCTCCGAATTCTAATCAATGACCATCTATCTAATCAATAAGTGATTGTGGAATCCTGAGATTCCAAGTTCACACATCTGGAAATGTCACAATTGGAAAACATTGATTTTAGACCTTTAATTAAATGAGGAATAAAAAGTAAATACATTTTGATGAGGCTGCTGTGTATGGACCAGGCAGGAAAAGAGAGCAAATGTTTTAAGGCAGGCCACTAAAGGCCCGACTGTCAAAGTGACAACAAATGTATTCATATGTTCTAAAAAGTTGATATAGTAGAACATCTAATTGTTGTAAGGCATGATGTATATACTATACAGTATCACAAAGTACATTTACACATATAGCTGTATCACTGTCTTTGGTATCAAGGACAAAAAGGACTAGGGATTTTGAAGCTACAGTTAAATTCAGAATAGGATTGCCACATTTAACCTAGCAATTTATGGACAGCTTGGTCATCACATAAACAGAGCCAAGCATATAAGATTACAAAGGCTTTATTAAAGCACAGAGATTAGTAATATGCTTTGAGATATATGAATTATGAAACACCAATGGAAAAAAAAATCCCATGCCAAATAATTATTTATATTGCTTTATTTACTAGTACCACAAATTCAATTTCAGAAATTGAACTATAGCACATTAATATTATTAATCACCATAGCAATGACCATTAAAATATACCCTTGGTCAGTGTGTATTTAATAAGCAGATTTTGAATTTTTATCTGTGTCTCCAGCTTTTTTTCTTTTTTTGAGCATACAATATTTAAACTGAAGGAATACATTGCATTAATTTAGAATCTATATTGATTTTTAAAATTCTGGGTTTAAAGAAAATGTGGACACAACCTTTGTCCATGCTAGTTGGAATGGAAGGAAGGAAGGAAGGAAGGAAGGAAGGAAGGAAGGAAGAAAGAAAGAAAGAAAGAAAGAAAGAAAGAAAGAAAGAAAGAAAGAAAGAAAGAAAGAAAGGAGGGAGGGAGGGAGGAACCCTGCAGACTATGGAGAGTTTCTGTTGGAGAAAAGAATTAGCATTTTCTGATTCCCATTGTCTTACAATGCTTTGTTCTGCTCCAGAAAATATAGTCTAATTGTTACCTACTACAACACAGTAGTAAAAGCTACTAAGATTAGAAGGAATTCGAGAACAGTGCGATTCCCCACCAACTTCTTCCTGTTTTGCAAATCTGGATGTAATCTAGTCTAGTTTGGACAAAATATGAATGCAGATTGGCAAATAAGAACACACCAAAACTATAAATAGATAATAATCTTAATTCAAAGTCACCAGCATTGTTTTTAAGAACACAGGTAGGCCTCAAATATATTATTTTAACTTTCATATACCAATAATAATATAAATAAAATTAATGATCAATGTCTGCATACCAAGAGATATAGGAAACACTCTTACTATAAAATGGAGAATGAAGTGACCACTTATCATAAATTATGAAAGAAAGCAGTGAATGTTCAGTGATATTTTCCATGCCATTAATATTTACACTTCAATACTTAAAAAAA